AAGGAAGGAAGGAAGGAAGGAAGGAAGGAAGGAAGGAAGGAAGGAAGGAGAAAGAAAGAAGGAAAGAAACCAGAAGGTAGACTTTTGCTTTCCATTTCATTTTAAACCCCCATTCCCATAGAATGGAAGGCAGCTAGAAGTGCCAGGCAGGACTTCAGGATCCAGAAAGAAGAAAGCTCAATGTCTGTCTTCTGGCAAGGGGCATGAGCAGGTCCACTGCCTGAGGCACACACCCTGCCAACACTCCTGGCTTAGGAATAGTGGTCAAAACCAGTGGCAGCCACTGAGCCTGGCTGTGGCCTTTTCTGAGCACCATGCCCAGGGTAAGAGGATCGAGCAGACACAGCTATGCTCCTCCCAGGAACATCACCAGGCCATGGCTTGGGCTGGCCTCCCAACCTGCAAAATCAACATGGAACACCTAGACTGAGCCTCACAGACTCTCACGATATCCAGGGCCCCAGCAGTGTGGGAGAGACAACCACAGAATGGTTGGGGTTATACTAGGGGCAGAAGTGAATACATTCCAATTCAAGATGTACTTAAATGCTAAAAAGTCAACGTACACAGGGAAAGCTAAAACCAAGAAATTTGGCCAACAAATTCAATACCTGAGTGTAGTCAGTCTTGAGAAAATGACAGTAAAATGACTATGAAATAAGCATGTTTATGATCCTGGGAGAAATTTTGAAAAGGAGGCTGATAGTGTCCAAAACACAAAATATATGTCATATATATGTATATATATATTTTAGAAAAACGGGTTAAACTACAAACAACAAACCTGAAGATGAAAATGTAGTCATCTGTCAATGAACATATCAAATGAGTAGCTACAGGCTGCTGATGGCTGGACAGCAGTCTGCTAAGGGCGAGAATAGGACACTGGAGAGACAGTCACATCCCTGCCCAGAAGTTTATGTTCCAGCAGCAGACATTCAATGAATGAATAGAGGCATGTGTCCTATAATTTAAAGTTCCAGAAGCTACACTAAGTGCTATGGAAACACTCAAGCAAGGTAAGTGGTGTTGCCTGATGAAGTGATAGGTGCGGGTCAGGAAAGATCGTTCTCAGGACATGCAACCTGTGGACAAGAGCATTCCAGACAGACAAAGGCACCTCATCCTGATTAATTGGTTCTATTAAAAATAGTAACAATGATAAAGCAAACATTGTATTACTGGAATCTTCCATGTTCCCATTAAGTTAAACATCTGATGCCACTTAGACTGTCCTAAACATCTGATGCCACTTAGGCTGTCCTTCCACACTGCATTAGAAATCCCGGCTTAAAACAATTAGACAAAATACTAAATCAGAATAAGGTAAATTAAGGATATCAAAGGGAGAAAGAAAATTCTAATTATCTGCAGATGGCCATACTATCTATGCAAATAAACTGAGAGTCTCAGATTAACTAACAGAACTCATAAGAGCCCACTGAGACTGCAGGATCAACATAAAAACAATTGTATCCATATATATCAACACTGACCAATTAGAAAAGGTAATTTTAAAAATTCTGTTTATGAAAAAATAAAAAAGACTTTAGATACCTAAGATTAGGTCTAAGGAAAATCACTACTGATTTTATGAAGAAGAAAAAGAGTCTCAAAGGACATAAAAAGTAATCAGAAATCTTGGAGAGACGTGCCATGCCATTTGATGAAAAGACTATACGCAAAAAGAGCATATTTCTGGATGTTTTCTAAACCATCCTTTTATTAATTCTTAGGCTTTAAATACCTTTCATAGTAAAAATTTAACTTCAATATAATTTAAATCCAGAACCCAAATGGATTTTTCATTGAAGATGACAAACTGATACATAAGGAAAAGAGAGCTAAAAACATTCTAAACAAGGAGGAGGTACTTGGCCTTCCAGATAGTAAGTCTTCCTAGAAACCTGTATCATTAAAACAAGATGGCTTTGGTGCAAGGAGAGACCACCAGATCCAGGCAACAGACCAGCAGGATCTTAACTGTTCTCCCGCTTACAGTACCTGGGCACCAGCATGCACGCAAAAGGGTGTCTAGGCCGCTAGGGGAGTTAATTATTAAAAAGATAATTCTAATTGGCCAGTGTTGGTGCATACGAATACTACTGTTTTTATGTTGATCCTGCAGTCTTGGCAGGCTCTCTTCTGAGTTCTGTTAGTTAATCTGAGGCTTTCAGTTTATTTGTATAGAGAGTATGGTCATCTGCAGATAATTAGAATTTGCTTTCTCCCTTTTATGTCTGTAACTTACCTTATTGTTATGTAATATTTTGTTTAATTGTATTAGCCAAGATTTCTTTTTAAAAAATATATATATATTTTATTGCATTGTAGATTTTAGGGTACATGTGAAGAACATGGAAGATTTCTAATGGGGTGGGGGAGGACAGAGTGTAAGTGGCATCTGGAGCAAAGAGAGTGAAGGAGAGAGCAGGGAGCATGAGGGAGAGTGGGAAGGCCTGTGCCCAGCCTTCCAAGGGGTTCCAGTGGGAGAGTGATGAAGGAGAGATGATACCGCCCACCGGGTCTTGTGTCCATCAGGAGTGTCCTCCTAGAGCCAGGAAGAATAACTTGAGTTCACTTAGTCCAGCCTCCTCCCTTTGCACAAGAAACGGAGGCACAAAGAGAGGAATGGCTTGGCAGAGGTCACATGACTAGTTACCAACAGAACCCTCTTTCCAGCTGAGGCACACCAACAGTATTCTGTCCCTTGACATGGCATTTGAGCCCTTCCGCCCATCCCTCTGGAAGCCCTCCTTCCTTCACCTCTATAGTAGTGGACTCTTACTGGCTCTCCCATCACGGCTTCTCTATTTCTTTCCAGATCCTGTTCCTGGCACAATCCTGACTCTCAACGTCCCCACCAACCCTGTGACAGCCCTCTCAGCTACGTAGTCACCCTCTCCCTGTATGACTTCAAAACTCTACGTCTTGGTTGACAAGCTTTAAGCTAGTAGCTTGTATATTTACACCTCAGCCTAGACCCGTCCCCTAGACAGCACACTGTTTATCGTGTTGTTGGATGAACATGCTGGGAGCAGCCACCCACATAGTACCAGCGCTATGGAAAAAAGCCAAGAGTTAGATGACACTCTCCTAAGGGTATGACGCCATCCACGCATAGGCATTTTCTAAGCCCAGAGCCTCAACAGGTGCAAAATGAACAAATGTGGGGTTTTCAGCAGGTATCTGAGAATCCTTTCAATAGCATGTGACCATGCGGAGGGAAAATCAATGTCACGAACATAGGAAGGGTCTTTAATCAGGAAAACTCTAGTAATTGAGAAGGAATTTAAGGGCAACAACCAGTCTGGGAGGGTTGCAGGCACCTGGTGAGGCTTCAATCCCAGAGGGAATCTGGAGAAACAGGAAGCCTAGACAAGGCACTCCGGAAACAGAAGGACTAAGTTTTCAAAACCGTGGTTGGAGATGTAAGAAATGGAAGCTTAGCTATCCCAAACAAGCGACAGTGTGAGGCCCCAGCCAGCTCCCTGGCTGCAGCAAATGGATCTGCTAAATTGGGGACAGACTGACTTTGACCATGAGTCAAAGACAGCTATTTGAAAAGCCTCTGTTCTCCCTGCCTGGCTTATTTCACTTCCAGTTAGACAGGAGGAATAAGGTTTACTGATCTATTGTATAACATGCTGATCCTAATTAATAATAATGTATATTTCAAAATTGCTTAAAGAGTAGATTTTAAAGCTTCTCACCAAAAGTGATATGTTGCATATGATAATTAGCTTGATTTAACCTTATATTAAACATATATGTATCCAATTATACACACACATATAAATATATATACACACATACGTCTATACATATACACATACATACAGATATAAATACGTATACATTGTACCCCATAATACATACAATTATAATTTGTCAATTAAAAATAAATAAATTTTAAAAATATAAATTTTTTTTAAAAAGACTCTGTTATCAGTTATAGGACTCCTCTCTATAGTTTAAGGCTGAATTGTTTACAGAACTAAGTATATCACAATAAAAGAAGTACAAAAAATGTTTTCACACCTTACCTGGTCCCAGGGAGAGACAGTGCCTCCGAAACACATGAAGAGGTATCCCATGGCAACAAGGCATATCCATATCACCAACGAGAAGAGGCGCAGCAGCTTCTTAAACACAGACTCAATGCAGACCAGGATAAATATTGCAAAGAAAATTGCCAGGGCAGTTGGAACTGTTATTAAAAATGCCACATGGTCTTCAACTTCCTGAGGAGAGAAAAAAAATATATGGAAAAGTTACCATTTGGAGATACCACTGTGATACCAATGATTTATGTTGTTAAAATGTTATCAACACTTATCAATGTCAGAATATATTGAGTTTAAGAAATTGTTTTGAAAGTAGAACAGTTTGGGCTGGGTACGGTGGTGCACACCTGCAATCCCAGCACTTTGGGAGGTCGAGGCAGGCAGATTGTAAGGTCAAGAGATCGAGACCAACCTGGCCAATATGGTGAAACCTCATCTCTACTAAAAATATAAAAATTAGCTGGGTATGTTGGTGCATGGCTGTAATCCCAGCTACTT